ATTAATATTGTGTTGATTGAGAACAGCAAATTCTACAACACCACATAGTATTATTACTATAAAAATAAAAACAAATATGCCAAAAATCTAGAGGTTTTAAAATATAGTAATATATACCTTTCTTGGAACTCCCTGAGTAATAAAGAGGTAGAGTATTGTGATTTATTTTCTAGGGAAAAAAAAATTTTTTTTAATTTTAAATCTTTATGAGGATCACCCTGGTACCAATGTGGACAAGACAACTAAGCTATTATTAGGTTTTTGATGAAAGAACTCTTAGAAATATTCCTTTTATTTCCCTTCTCCTTGGCAGGGCTATACTTAAAAAGTCTGTCACCTATTACTTTCTTAAAAACTTCCCATGAACAAATTGACTAAACTTCAATTTTAGGGCTTCAAAACTCTTAGAAAGATACTTTTTCAAGTTCAAATTCAATTACCCATTATAGTTTTTGCTTGTTTCCTATTGTTTTCATCTAAATTTGACATAAAATCTCACCTTCCTAATGGGTAAGTCCTTGATGAAATCCTTCACAGCTTGTCTGTTGGGGAGAATTTGATATTGTCCATTTGGTTTATTCTTATCACTACATACTTTTGCTAACATTGTATTTGGGGCAATGCCTTAAAAGAAGAACACAAAGATTATAACCCAAAGATGTTAATATGTATGCTTTTAAAATATGTAATGACAATACAGAAGAGTAACAATATTAAGTGGACAAAATATGAAATGAATGGAATACTACTTTAAAATAACAATTGATTACTACCTATCTGCCTAGGGGTTGCTATGGTTTTAGGAAAAGGAATATTATTTATTGTGGCAACAGAAATGAGGAATACTTAAATCCCCATGGCATTTTAAAAACTAAGAGTTAGTTTCTGAGCTTATTTATTACATGCTATCCCTTTACTTACTATCTTTTTGTAACAAGGCTGTTTAACAGTGGTATTATATCTACTTATCAGAAAAGAATGAAAAATGACTTAGGATGGATGTTTACTCTCGTTGAAAAGTCTTTTGCATAGATTATCTACATAGAAAATCAGAAACTTTAGGTTCCAGTATATTTAAAACAATAATTAAATCTGTGCTTCCTTTTTTTTCTCAATAAACAAATCATGACTTTTTAAAAAGGTATTTTACAATCTTGAGGATATTAAAAGTTTTAAAAATTAACATAAGTTGAAATTTGTTATTGCTAAGTGCTGTCAAGTCACTTCCGATTCACAGCAACTCTGAGTAGGGTCTTCAAGGAGCAGCTGGTGAATCTGAACCACTGGCCTCATGGTTAACAACCCAGTGCTTACCCTATAGCAACATACCAGGACTACATACACTCATAAAATAGTTCATTTCAACTTTTATACACGTCTTCCTAAAACCTCTTATTGCAATGGATTGCAAGGTCAGTTTGAACCACAAGGTTGGTGGTTCAAACTCATCAGTCACTCCTTGGAAACCCTATACGGGGTTGCTATGAGTCGGAACCAATCCAAGGCTCTTAGCAACAACATGCCCACACTCTGAATAGAAAGCAAAGACAAACCTAGTCATAATATGATTTCTACAAGAGAATTCAGGGTCCTCATTATGGATGTCAATCACTATGTGAATACACAGTGATGCCCACAAGGACCACTGACACATGTAAATCTGTCTCTCCCTTCCACAGGTAGGCCGAGGTTGCTGTGTTGCTGGTTGGTGCTTTTTCTGTCTCCTCTGGTAGCGTAGTGGTTACGAATCAGGCTGC